TGGTAATGCTTTGCTGATGGCTATTTTTCTTTCTACTTTGTAGCCACACATTGATTTTTACTAAAAACAACTGCAATAAACAAATATATGTACGCAATCCGTGCATGCTTAGCAAAAAGTGCTAACTGAGGTAGGCGCTCCAATGCCTGACCCATTGTTAAATATTGAGGTGATGAGGCACAAATGAAAGGATTTATAAACTATTAAATAAATAATAATTTATCATTAAACGTGAGATTTGTTGTGTAAATACATAAATAAACAAAAACGCGAACTCTTTTAAATAAACACAATAGCATGAAATAAATGGCATCATATATAAATAGACCAATATTGTATATTTCCATAAATAATAATATTGCATAGGCTAAATAATTAAATAACGCAGATTCTGTTGTGTAAATGAATAAAATTGAATAGTAAATAAAAATAGCATCATTAGGTGAACGACCAAATAAATTAGTGTGAACTTTTTTGTAGAAATAAATCGCAATAGATGAAAATAATAAATAAAATTGCATACAAAAAATAACATAAATAAATAATAGTGCATAAACAATAATATTGCATAAATAAATAAATAACAAAACTCTGGTGTGTACATAAATAAATAAATACAGTTGCTTAATAAAGAAAAAGTTGCATAATTATTAAATTAATAAAGAACGAACAGCATTTTAGTCCTTTACACAACTGCCTTGATCAAAACAGACTCATGTCACTGTCACACCTTTATCTTGGGACATTTTAACAAACTGATTCTAACACAAGCTCCAGACTCAGCGGACCCCTCCAGTGGGGGTCAGGCTGGTCTCCAGGTACGATGGACACCAGAGACAGTGTTGGGGTTGAACACCCTTGTGTGCATGAAATCAGAATGTCAACATCTGATTCATGCTGCTGGGCAGTAACTGTGAAACAAATTATGTCTGTGGGAGGCATTGCACATGTTCTACTCTGCTGCGGATATTTAGCTGAATGCGGGGCAGGCCTGGATTCCTAGAGAATTACAAAGAAATGTAAATATTTATAATGCAACTGAAGAAAATATAATACAAAAGAACTCGGAAACAAAACATTGGTCGGCCTGTCAGATGGCTGTCTATGTCTATCTATCTATGTATTCAGTGTTTATTTATAAAAAAAATAATAATTATATTAACTATATTATATTATACTGATATTATATGCTTCTGACTGGTCAGTGGCAGCATTCAGTGGTGAAATATTTTGGTTTCATGTTAATTTAATGTTTTTCCACTTGCTAAACCATTATTAGGCAAGTTTTTAGAATCGTGACAAATCTTGAGTTTTCTCAATTCAGGTGCACCTGGTCTCTTAACGTATTAAGATGTTAAACGCATTTCCTCCCTGTTAGTGTCAATGCAGTAACTTAGCATAGCAGGGGCAGTAAAAGAGTTCCTAATTGTTATTCAAGACAAGGATGCGTATTGTCTAAGGAAGGTGATAACAGGAACCATTAGCCGGGATCTTAGTTTTTTAAAGGTCTCTACTTTCACCTGAACGGAGGCTGTCCTGTCTTACCAGTTCAAGAGGTCAACAGAACAGCAGTCTCAAAAGCACATTTGTTTGAATTCACTGCATTGCACCTCATTTATCACAGCGTGTCACCTCATGGTGATCTTAATTATATCTACTGTGAGATGTTGGAATGTTAGCTGTAGGAAGAGCTGGCTGAAGGACTCCATATTGAATCCCCAGATGTTTTTTGGGGTAGAGCTTTGAGGATTGTTGTTCCCATGTTCAATAAGAAAACCCATAAATTAACATATGTTCTGACACATGGAACATCTAACAAAAAGCCTCCATTACGGAGTGAAGGCACGCCGAAGCCTCCAGACTCTGCAGGGCTGTGCAGGTTCAGACAGAGCCCAGCGTGAGTTTTCCTCCTTCTATTCATCACGCTTTAGGCTTCGGGTCTGTCAGTCTGGGCCTCTGCATTCCACGCCGCCAATCCGAAATCTCCAAATATTACTCCCCTCATCTTTGGCTGATTCCGGCTAAATCTTGGGTTTGACACAAGTCGAAGAATGCACAAGGTTTGGCAATGGCGTTTAGTGTTGTTCAGCACTGTTTATTTTTGGAGCACAATTGGACGAGGCTCCAGGTTAATCAAGCGTGTCTGTGCAGTGAGACCGTTGAGGGTAATTTAAGTGGAATTGGGTTGAATTTTGTACCCTGCACTAAACTCACAGACAAGTCAATGTTATGTGTGTATATTGTCTATATATGTGTAGTTTGTCTGTAGAATTCATGTTGATGGCACTTTGTGTACAGACTGTGAAAACAAATTTCCTCCAATGAGGACAATAAAGTATGAATCTGAACCTGAATCTAGGTATACAACCTGTTTCGACAGAGTTTTTATACTGTGGAATACTGTCTTAATTCAGGATGTACACTCACCTAAAGGACTATTAGGAACACCATACTAATTTGACCCCATTTCGCCTTCAGAAATGTGGCATTGATTCAACAAGGGGCTGAAAGCATTCTTTAGAAATGTTGGCCCATATTGATTGGATAGCATCTTACAGTTGATGGAGATTTGTGGGATGCACATCCAGGGCACGAAGCTCCCAAAGATGCTCTATTGGGTTGAGATCTGGTGACTGTGGGGGCCATTTTAGTACACTGAACGCATTGTCATGTTAAGCCAATAAACCAATTTGAAGTGATTTAAGCTTTGGTGCATTATCCTGCTGGAAGTAGCCATCAGAGGATGGGGACATGGTGGCCATAAAGGGATGGACATGGTCAGAAACAATGCTCAGGTAGGCCGTGGCATTTAAACGATTTCCAATTGTCACTAAGGGGCCTAAAGTGTGCCAAGAAAACATCCATTACACCACCACCACCAGCCTGCACAGTGGTAACAAGGCATGATGGATCATGTTCTCATTCTGTTTACGCCAAATTCTGACTCTGCCATCTGAATGTCTCCACAGAAATCGAGACTCATCAGACCAGGCGACATTTTTCCAGTCTTGAACTGTCCAATTTTGGTGAGCTCTTGCAAAATGTAGCCTCTTTTTCCTATTTGTAGTGGAGATGAGTGGTACCCGGTGGGGTCTTCTGCTGTTGTAGCCCATCCGCCTCAAGGTTGTGCGTGTTGTGGCTTCACAAATGCTTTGCTGCATACCTCGATTGTAACGAGTGGTTATTTCAGTCAAGGTTGCTCTTCTATCAGCTTGAATCAGTCGGCCCATTCTCCTCTGACCTCTACCATCAACAAATCATTTTCGCCCACAGGACTGCCGCATACTGGATGTTTTTCCCTTTTCACGGCATTCTTTGTAAACCCTAGAAATGGTTGTGCGTGAAAATCCCAGTAACTGAGCAGATTGTGAAATGCTCAGACTGACCCGTCTGACACCAACAACCATCCCACGCTCATAATTGCTTAAATCACCTTTCTTTCCTTTATTAATGAATTTTGTGTTTCATAATTGTTTCATTAAAAGCCCTTAAAAAGACAATAAAATATTTTAAATACATATAACACTAATATTGTATAGGGCATAATTGGTGATATATATGTAATATTTTGTTAATTAATTCATTAATTATTCATTAAATGGTTGCAGAATGTTACATATTGGAAAGAGCTATCCGAATTATTAGTAAATATTTTTGATTAATAATACATCTTACACAAGCCTTGATTCTTATAACCAGATTAATTATGGGCCTATTTTAATGAAATTATGAATTAAAAATATATGTATTAATACTAATAATAAAAATAATTTACAACTATATTTATATACAAATTATATTTTTCCAGTCTATAAACTATGAACATAGATTTACATTATAATATAATATATAAGCTTAACCTTTCTCTCTCTCTCTCTCTCTTTCTGTCAAAACTCATTTAACCGCAAACATAAACATCTCTTTTTAAGGATGGGATGTAGCAGATTCGGCACTTGAGTGTTTGAGTGCTGAAGGGTCTTCACTGCAAGGCGTTAAATATGTTAGGACAGTAACAGCCTCTGTGTATTTTTCAGTATCCTTGCTATTTCCCCTGCCGCGACAAGCTAATCTATCACCACAGATCTTATCTGTGATTCTGCTGTGGTAAGTCACACCCTGCGCCACCACTTCAAAGGCCGGCGGGGCAGTGTAGGTGCGGGAGAGCTGAGGGCTACGTCCAGGGGTGTGAAGTGATGATGCTGATTAGTGGCATTAGGGAGGGAGGGAGGGGGAGGTTGGGTTCAGGAGTGCCGTGGTTTGAAAGACAGCCACAGGAGAGAGGTGTGTGCCTTGACAGCAGCGGTCTCTGTATGCTTTTCTTTTTTTTTCTTTGTACCGGGTCACGGCACCAACGGAGCCCCAGCGATTCATTACACACACTGGTAATTGCTACCTGGAAAGGTCTGTTGGATTGAACAGTCTAACTAACTCCTAAACTAATCTAAAAAGAATTAATGTGGTAAAACGTTTTTAAATGGATAGGTGCGAACAGTTGTGAAGAAACAATTTTAAATAAAAATGCTAACGTGGAAAGGTTGCATGTCATGTTTTGAAACCATGAATAAGACCAACAACTATAATAAAAGTTTGGTAAACGTAGATTTTTTGACATTATGATTTCTCTTTTCATGTAAAATAAATAAATAAATAAAAAAATTCCCTTGGAAAAAGCCATACTGCTCCCATTAGACCTTAATATATTGCAACGTTTCGACAAAACAAAGTCTTGATCAGGCATGTCCAAGCACCCGCCTAAGATTGGATGTGTAACAGTACTTCAAATTAATTTGATTTTTTTTTTCATATTTTCTGCTCTTATCTCAAAATATTTTGTTATTATTTTATTAGAACATTTTTGTTTTGAACGCACTTAAAGGGACAGTTGACCCATGTTTCACTGTGTTTTTTTCCAATTCAATGAAAGTCATTGGGGTCCAAAACATTGGACTCCAATGACTATATGGACAAAAAATACAGCAATAAATTTTTTTTTTCAAAAATATCTTTTGTGACAGAAAAAAAGACTGAAGTTATATTAATAATTTAGCATACTGTTTGTAGTGATATTTATAACTTTTTGTTACACTGGGTCGCCACTTCATCTGGGTCCTGAAGCAAAACCAACTGAAACCTCTGTGGTAACGCACGAGATCCGTCAACGGCTAAGAAACATCCATCAGCCCCTGGGCTTCATCGTTGTACATTTCAAATCTACCACACTGTATTCAACAGCAGAGGAAGCAGATAGTTGACTAAAATGGGCCCTTGTGACATGCAGATGGATGCCTCTTGTTGTCGAATAACAAGGCCCCATTGTCCCGCTAATGTAACTCCATCGGTCTTTGATCCAATCCCATGTTGTGACGATCAGTGTGAAAATTCCCCGTCAAGAGCACGATCCACTACTTTGTCTTTTGTTATCGTGATAATCTGCCGCATTCAAATTCGACTTTGTTCTTTTGTCTCTTTGTCGGCCGAGCACAATGCAGGGTTAATTAGCAGCTCTCCGCGTTCCTCCACTGCTAATCACACTTGAAGTGTCCTCTTCAGAGTCAGCGACTCTCATCAGCGCCTCCCTGCAAACACGGCCGAGGTCCAGCTATTAACAAACAAACAAAATAACAAACAGAGCGTCGTTAATCCCGTCTTTAGGTGACAGATGAATCACATCTGTTCATGGCTGGCATAGAAATATCGTACAGTGTAACCAGGTGAGGGTGACCTACTGATATTAAATCATGTTCCAAGCACTTTGATGGATTGCTAAATCTGGCATTTGAGAGACAAGGTTTACATTTTCATCAGTATGTGCATTCCCTGGGCTTCGAACCTGTGACCTTGGCATTGCATTGAATCAACCTAAATGCATTAGGTTACACCAACAAACCAATTTTTAGGGGTCAGGGGGTTCCTTAAGGTATGTAGATTTTCAATGCTAGAGTTTCAATCAATTATTAATCATCAATTATTAAAAACCCATATTGATCATCCTTCTGCATAAGCATACCTGGATAAGCATGTGTATTTAATATATGATTTTATATGGGTTATATTTGACCTTGATATGGAGTACAGAGGCACACGAGATTGATTCAAATTTGGGTCAAACTGATCAATTTATTCAAATATACATAAAAAAATATTTACATTAAAAAAATGTATAGACTAACATGTTATCAAGTTGTAAGTGAAATATATGACTTTTTTTCCTACCAGGTTAAACACATTTTCATTAAGTCATTAAATTTAAATCTTTTAAAAAAATACAAAGAGTACACTGTTTTTGTATTAAACTAAAAAAAAAAATATTTTACTCTTATTTGTCATTGACCCATTTACATTTATTTTCTTGACAGACACCATTATCCCATGGGAATCGAACCCACGACCTTCCTTACAACAGCCTGTCCACATAGAACGGATCCGAAAGCTTTCCCTAATGTCGCATTTTCTCTCAATATTACTCTTCTTCAGAGCAAGATCTCCACGTTCCCTGGTGGTCTAATTTATGTTAAGTCACCAACCTCCCCCATGGCTGTTTTGAAACGTCTGCGAATGGAGACTGTATTGGTGCAGCCTAGCGCTGTGACAGAGTCCCCGGTGAGATTACTCTCCACGGGAAAGAGCCACTCACCGAAACCATCTGCAAGTCCATGGGGCAGTTTGGGAAGAAAGACCAGACTTCTAAAGATCTCCACTCTCAACCCCGCTTCCAGTGCAAAGCGGGTAATTAATTCTGATTCTGAGGAAGTCAGCGGCTGTCCTTGGATCAGTGGCATGTGTAATACACGGAAACTAGTTCCTCTGGGAAAACCGCTTGTCCTGGAATGGACAATTGAGCTCTTCAATGTTTTGAAGCTACAAACAAACAAATAAAAATGGTAATTGTGACTTTTTATCTCTCAGTTCAGACTCAGAATCATGCCATATAAACTCGCAATTGGAATTTGTGGAATTAATATTTATTATTATCCAGAACAAACTCGGAATTGCGAGGTATAGACTGGCAATTGAAAGAAATAAACTCAGAATTGTGAGATATAAACTCGGAATTGCGGGAAATTAACTCAGAATTGCTAGATATAAACTCGGAATTGTGAGATATAAACTCGGAATTGTGGGAAATGAACCCAGAATTGTGAGATATAAACTTGGAATTGCGGGAAATTAACCCAGAATTGCTAGATATAAACTCGGAATTGTGAGATATAAACTCGGAATTGCGGGAAATTAACCCAGAATTGTGAGAAATAAACTCGGAATTGTGGGAAATTAACTCAGAATTGCTAGATATAAACTCAGAATTGTGAGATATAAACTCGGAATTGCGGGAAATGAACCCAGAATTGTGAGAAATAAACTCGGAATTGCGGGAAATTAACTCAGAATTGTGAGATATAAACTCAGAATTGCGGGAAATAAACTCAGATTTGTGAAATATAAACTTGGAATTGCAGGAAATGAACTCAGATTTGTGAAATATAAACTCGGAATTGCAGGAAATGAACCCAGAATTGTGAGAAATAAACTCGGACTTGGGAGATATAAACTCGAAATTTTAGGAAATTAAATCAGAATTGGGAGATATAAACTCGGAATTGCGGGAAATTAACTCAGAATTGTCAGATATAAACTCGGAATTGTCAGATATAAACTCGGAATTGTCAGATATAAACTCGGAATTGCGGGAAATTAACTCAGAATTGTCAGATATAAACTCGGAATTGTCAGATATAAACTCGGAATTGCGGGAAATTAACCCAGAATTGGGAGATATAAACTCAGAATTGGGAGTTAATACTTATGATTATTCAGAACAAAATCAGAATTGAAATAAATAAATTATTTACTAACCTTTCATATGTAAAATTTAACAACTTTCAAATTTGTTCTTTTTTAAATCCTCCAAAGATTTGGCCCAAGCAAAACAATGGGACTCAAAATGACTTATCTGTAATCAATATTATGCCGCAAATGCTGTCGATTGAACTTAACTTGTGCTGAATATTCTCTCAAGGAACTTGAGGACTTTAGATTAAAGAAAATGGCTGGTAAGAGTTATTGTATTCGATTGAAGCTATTTTTAAGACTACGTCAGAAGTTAGAATGAACTCTGAATTATTCTAGAACAGCAATAAAAGGTCTATGCACAAATAAAACACATTTTACATTGTTAAATTTTTCATATCATGACCATGAGCCTTCGGGTAATGTGTGTTAGTTACAGTATCTGTTTACATATGTAGATGCTAATGAAGCTTTAATAAACAAGAAATGGCGCGTTTCTGAAGTCAACGGCAATGATACGCTGCCAACACAATCCCAAAGTCACAAAGTTCTCCAAGGAGCGCTTTCCTTGCCCAATCGTAAGAAGAATGTAGGTCGTTTTAATTAATTTGCAAATGCGTAGAATGATGAAATATGATGAAATTGAGAAAAAGCGTATAGTTTTTAATAAACCATTAAAAGGAGAAATGCATTTCCGGAAGCAGTTAACTTTGTGTGGACCTCATCCGTATTAATGCATGCATAATTTATCTGGAGTTTGTGGATACTCATTTCAGTCTCTTTCCCAACTTGTGACAATGAGCCGATCTTCAAAAGTCACACTTAAAACCCTTCTTTATGTAATTAACTTAAGCACAAGTTTCTGCACATTCAGTTCAGAGCTTCACCTTAGGGCGAGGCAAAACTCACAGCTCTTGTTTAGAATTGGATTGACCGGATTGACTGGATAACTGGCTCTATGACCTTCTTCAAAGACAACTGCATTGACAGCGCCCAAGGCTGGACACTTCTACATGGAGTTTTGGTGGAAATTGACCATGTATGATCTAACAATATGTACACAGAATGTAACACAATGTAAAAGGTTGATGGACCTACATCAAATGAATAACTGTTGTAATGTCTCTAATCTGTTAGGTATTTGAGGGGGACAAGTAAGGAAAAGTCTTTTGCCACGGTTTTACAGTAACAAGTAAATTTATATATTATTTAGCAGCAATTTTACATCTTAAATTGCAAAAAATAAATGAATCCACAAGTCATATTAAATTACATGCTTTTGAAATAATAACATGCATTGAAAAGAAAATAGTAATAAATAATTATAAAAATAATTAAATTATTATTAATAAAAAATATTTACATTTCTACATATTATTTAATGTGCTATATATATATATATATATATATATAGGCTATTTGTCTATTTGCGTGATGTTTTATTTCTTTTAATCATTAGTAATAATAATAATAATAATAATAATAATTCCAAAAATGTTTCTTTACAGAAAAATATACATCTAGGGATGAAACCAGCATTTATTTGTGTAAAAATATATTTTATATTCCTTATAATAAAACAAAATAATAAACAGGAGAACTATATTTGATCATGATGTTTCATTAATAATACAAATAATAATAATAATAAAAAATGTGTATGGAATGTGTAAAGTTTTTGATTATTATAAATAATATTATAATTATTAACAACAATAATAATCAATTTTTTTTTTATTTACAGAACAAAAACATATTTTTCCAGGAACGTGACCTATATAAATACATATAAACAGTGCATCTAAATATATTCTTATAAACATAAAACCACATTCCCATACATCAAATATGAACACACACATAGAAGTACAAATCTGCTCATTTTCTTATAACAATGACTGACTTTTGAAACAAATTCAATAGTCTGCTTTATTAAAGCCATCATGAGATCCATTGTTTACCTCTGACTAATAAATCTGGTTACGATCCAAGAACTTTTCATAACGTGGCAACAGAGAGGGCCAAAACTTTCCACAGAGGACCTTCCAGTTGACATCCAGCCAAATAATGGTACCGCTGCGCCTCCTGTCCGATAGCCAACTAGCTCAAAGTACGGCCAGTGTAAATAACCATCTCAATAACAAACAGAGGAAAATGCAGGAGCCAGTATGTCAGAGCGGGTAAGCCTGTACCGGGCCACTTTAATGACGCCGTCAATGAGGCCTATGCAACACTCTGCTAATTTCTTTTCTTTGGCTTCATTAGGTGGCACTGCAGAGGACAAATAAATCACTGGAGCAAAGTGGAAGAGAAAGAGACGGAGAGAGGGGTCTGTTGTTTTGTCGCCCCGGGTCACCAAAGTCAAACAAAGTCACCTCTCTTGGCCCCGCCGATGACTTCCGCAAACAAAGCCAATGGTTCTATTATGGGGCAAGTGGATGTCTGGACACCCAAAAAAAAAAAAAAAGGTAGCAGCTAAACCTAAAAGTTGACCCAAGAAGTTTCACTCCTTAATCTAAAACACTTTAAAACCCGTCGCAACCGTGACAGCGACCACTGATCTGAAGAAGGGGCTCTCGAGCAACACCACGTCCCCGCGAGGGGGGCCGCTCACTCTTTTGAGCTCTTCTCCGGCAGGGCTGTAAAGCGCTGGCCTCCGCAGGCCACAAATCAGCTCCTGAAAGCAGGCATGCATCTTCAAAGGGTGGGCTACCCCTCTGTGATATACGGCCCCCGCCGAGAACAAGTTAGCCACGGCCAGTGTCTTTGCACCTGGGCCATTATCAGGCGACCGGGATCATCTCCTCTCACCACACATTCAAATGTACAAGTAGCAGATTAGGCTGACTCAATCTTCTTTCCCTTCTGAAGGATAGGGCGAGGGAGAAAAAGAGGGGAAAGCAGAAAGAAAGAAAACCTCCTCGGACTTCAAAAAGAGCTCTCCGCTTCTGTCCTTCTGGGCGAGTGAAAGGCCCGGGAGATGAGAACGGAGGGGGGCTTGTGTATTCAGAGAACTAATTCAGAACTGATTCCTCTAATACACTCCTGAAACACTTTTAATTGTGTTCGTTTGCATTCAAAAGGCGCGTTTGCAGCTTTTAATTGGCGAGCGCTTTGAAATAATTGAAATGTGTGACTTTGTGGGGGACAACTTAAACAGTTCTAATGTGCTTTGCTGGTAGGTGCGGGCCGCCCATTATTCCCGCGTTCTGACACTGTGGCATTTTCAAGGGGTCTTGATCTGTTCTCTAAATAAAACAGCTATCAAGATTTGGCACGCCAGTTGCTACACTGACCGGAACAGTAAACACTACATCATTATACCAAGTATTTGCCGTTAGCAATTAGCTTTAAATAAAGCTCTCATTGTGGCAAAGTGTTAATGACCTTTGACCAAAACTATAACTGCAAACAAAACTTTGTTGATGTTTTTTCTTAAAGGGGAAGCGTGTCATTTCTTTTCAAATAGACTTTCAAATAGTAGGCTATCTCCAATCCAGCTAAGAGAGACAACTAATAAGACATTAGTAGGGCCACAAACAGTTTAAATAATTCGATAACCATTGGCACATTAAAAATAAAGTTGCTCCCTCAAGTTTTTAAGTACAATATACTTGGATGTTTAAGTCATTTCAACTTAAATTACATCAAACTGATTTTAAAAATGAGTTAAAGCAATGTAAAAACACATGTCATAACTTATTGATCATATTTTTTTTTTTTTTACAGCGCAATGACATGTGTTTGAGGCGGAACTACAGGGCAATATATCTGTTTATCCAAGCAATGGAAGACCAGTTTGAAATAATTCACATTTGGTGAAGGTAATGGTCATGAAAGTAAGTACTGCCCCTTTAAACAGAACTTTCATTATAGTTAAAGACCATTGAGCAAAATTATTATAGTAAAAAATATGTTGACTTCTTTTTAATGGGAATCATGTCATTTTTTTTTATGTTAATATATCCTATTTTAGCTCTAAAATTAGGACGTGTATATTTATTTCCCCAAAACGTTAAAATAACCAATGGACCGAAAAAAAATAAATAATACAAAGCTCTCGGTAGGTA